GACAAAAGAACCCCCCCCCCCCCACCCACACACACAATTTAATACTGGTACACAGTGATGATGATTGTGAAGCTTGGTTGAGGTGGTGGAGTCAGAGGGTGGGATATTTCCCAGGGAATGTCTTACTGTTAAATGAACTAGCAAGTGACTGAGTGCTCAAGGGTTAACTCTCACACTCTACAAGGCAGCAGGAAAGGAGGGAGGGCAGACAGAGACTTACAGTGTGTGTGTGGGAGAGAGAGATGCGCATTTCCTCTTTAAGTATGAAGATGGGGTCAGAAGTACACTGCCTTGTTAATTAGATCAGCAAGCTGAGATGGACTGCAGCTGCTGCTGCCTGGAAGCTCCCTCTGTCGTGTTCCCCCCTCCCCCCCCACTGGAAGATGGGGTAAGTGGGGTGCAGGAGCAGGGGGACACCCTGACAGCCCCCCCTATCTCCCCCCACAGCAAGCATGAGTCTCAGGGAGCAGCTCCAAGGCAGAGGGCAGGAGCAGCACATGGCAGTGGGGGGAGGGACAACTGCAATTGATAGCCTGCCGGGCAGCTGCTGCATACGGAACTTAGGGGAGCCGGGAGCTGATAGGGGGGCTTCTGGTCCACCCTGGTTCCAAGCCCCCACCAGCTAGCTCCCCCGGGCTGCTCTTCCTGCAAGCAGTGGACAAAACAGGTGTCTGCCAAACAACGTTATAAGGGAGCATTGCACAACTTTAAACGAGCATGTTCCCTAATTGATCAGCAACGTAACAACATTAACCGAGACGACTTTAAGTGAGGAGTTACTGTAAACACAATTTTGTATGTTGATTAAAAATGATATCACTGAGGTATGTATTTCTGGATCAGAAGTTATAGATTGTTGATTAATGTAGAAAACAAGAGAAGCCACCAATAACATAATAAAATGTCATACTTTGATTCACTTTTATACATGTGGTAGAAAAATGATAATCAGATGTAAAATTTGCATTAAGTCAAATAGTTAAAAAAATTCTAATAGTTCATTCTCCAGGGCAATCCTGCCATATGTGTTCAGTTTTCGGAAGTTTGATTGTATACATCATCTGCTTTTAGTTCCAAACAATATAACATTTATTACTGAATTCAGAACAAGTTGTTTTGGAAAAAATTCTGTAAGGAGTCAAAAGCTGTCTGTAATTTTGATTTCTGCTATGGCATCATTACTATATACAGTATATACCATCTGCGTAAATGAGGATGGTAATGAATATGTATAACACTTAAGTGACTGTTAATTGTCCTAATGATATTCATTGTGATTACAAAAAGAAGAACAGGAGTACTTGTGGCACCTTAGAGACTAACAAATTTATTAGAGCATAAGCTTTCGTGGACTACAGCCCACTTCTGCGGATACAGACTAACACGGCTGTTACTCTGAAATTGTGATTACAGTCTCTTCAAGGAATATTACAAATACTTCTCTACTTGGGAATACAACTAGATTCTTTCAAGTATCGGGGGGGTAGCCGTGTTAGTCTGTATCCACAAAAACAACAAGGAGTCCGGTGGCACCGTAAAGACTAACAGATCTATTTGGGCATAAGCTTTTGTGGGTAAAGCTTTTGTGGGATGCATCTGAAGAAGTGAGGTTTTTTACCCATGAAAGCTTATGCCCAAATAAATCTGTTAGCCTTTAAGATGCCACCAGACTCCTTGTTGTTTTAACTAGATTCTTTGGTTCTTTTCCTGGCTGCCCCCTTCCTCCTGCCATGTACAGAAATCCAGTAAATAAAATCAACATTTTAAAGGTGGGGACCATCTTACAAAACTTTGCTGGATAATTTAGTAAGAACACAATCTTTCTTCCTTGTCATTTTTACTCCTGGGGGAATTCTGTGCCAAAAAATTAAAATTTTTTAAATTCTGCACATTTTATTTGTCAAAATAACACTATATAATCACGCCAGTTTCAATTATTTTGGTAATTTATTTCAAAATACCTGTCAGCAAGTATGTCTGTAACAATACAGACACACACAAAATTCCCCCAGGAGCAGAGAGTTAAGGAAACCCCTATGACAACCCAGTTCTTGTTTCTCTGCTCCTCCCCTTGGAGCCCAGGCAGGGGGCCAGACACTTATACCCCCTTCTCCCCCAGAGCCCAGGGATCCAGATGGAGAAACAGCCTGATGCTGGGTCCTAGGCTTGCACGGAGTTTCCTGTGCACCACCGCCTCCTTCCTTCAAGGCATGCTGGGAACCCTCCAGTTCCCACCGCCTCCTCTCCTGGCCTTGTGTTCTATTTGTGAGCTAGGCTCGGCCGGGTCCAGCGGCCCCTAGTGGCAGACAACATCTCTGCAGCCCATTTCTGGGGGGTGGGGGGGTGGAGAAAGGAAATTGTGTGCACACAACATTAATTTCTGTTAAGTTCTGTGTTGCGCAGTGGCGCAGAATTCCCCCAGGAGTAAATTTTAAGATCCTATTTCACTGCCTACATCTAAGTCTGTGTTTTATTGTATAGGTGGAAGCATGACTGGGACTAGGGTGACCAGACTGCAAGTGTGAAAAATCAGGACAGGGTGGGGGGTAATAGGTACCTCTATAAGACAAAGCCCCAGATATCCGAACTGTCCGTATAAAATCAGGACATCTGGTCACCCTAACTGGGACACTTTTAAAAAATTTCTTTTGGTGCTATAGCTGCATGTCCAGTGTGAAGGTCCAACTGTGGGCAGGTTGTGGTGTGCAGATCCACACTCTGGAAACACATGTTCAGAGATAAACCGCTAACTCCCGTATCCCCTTAGGGGTGCAATCTCAAGCACCTTCTGGGTGGTGCTGGGTGCCTAGTGTTAATGAAGGGCCAGCATTATCCTAGGTACTTTACCGATCGATATAAAGACAGAGTTCCTGGCTGAATGAACATACTGCAACACATTTGGTGATGGCAACCTGGCCTACATGGCTGTGCAGGTATATTAGGAGGACTAAAACTCTCACTTCCATGCCTCTGTGCAGTCTGCCTAGATCTTGGGTGTGAAAGGATAAAAATACACTACGTAGCAGCTATTCTCCCTACCACAGTGGGGCGAACAGCAGTCACATAATGGGATCTTGGCTCTACTCCCAGTGCACTGTCTAGAGAAGTTTAGGGAGTGGAAGTACGGGTATGTCTACACTTAAATCGCTACAGTAGCGCAGTTGCAGCTCTCGTGCTTCAGCGTAGACAACACCTACAGGATGGGTTCTCCCATCAGCACAGATAATCCACCAGCTCCCTGAGAAGTGGTAGCTGGGTTGATGGAAGAATTTTCATCAACCTAGCACTGTCTACATTGTGGTATAGGTTGGCTTAGTTATGTGATTTGGGG